AGTAGGTACGCACTTACATTCTCGTGGGAACATATTATATTTTAAATCGATGGGCAAACGTAAAACTGGTTTTCTTCAGTCAGTCTTAATTAGTTTTTCATAACAGTTCTGTGTGTCAGGTCAATTTTAACCAACCATACCAACCAAGTGAGCAGTGGTTAGCATATAACTCTGATTCTTGACCTGTGCTTTTCCTACTAGCAAATTTTCCTTCAAGTCAAATACAAGGAACACGTTTATAATAAAAAACTGAAGAGTATTCGATAAAATATTATTGGCTTCATTCCAGCAGTGTTTTCAAGGTCAATGCAAATATTATGACTAACGATTTTGGCTTCTATCGCACAACCTCCAATCATTGAATAAATTTGATGCCAAAAGCCACATAAATCGTATATATCCATAGATAATACTTACTTTTGACGTTTATTCCAATATTGTGTTAAAAGAAAATTAAACAATGACACTTGTTTGGCAAAACAAGTCTGAAAATTTAAAGCCATTACAAAATTATTTGTTCCTGTTCGTTATTCATCTCACGTTCTCTCTGTAGATTCTTATAATAGAATTGGAAAAGCGCCAGCCACAATTTGCGATAATCGTGTTCCAAGTGCCTGTATCAACTAAATGTTGATTGATGGTTTCCTTTCTCTAAACGCTTCGAGTGACCTTTTGTGTGCAGGTCACTGCGAATCTAATTCATATAAAACAAAGTTGGATTTCTCCACCTCCTGTTAGAAATAAAAGTTGGAAGCTCCAATTTGTATGCTTTAAATTGCTTTACCAATCGGTAGCCAACATCAATATGGATCGTTTTATAGATACTGTTGTTCAGGTCGTAACACATTCAAAAAAGTTTAAATGGAAATAGACCGGTCACGTTGCCCGCGTCTGTAATGACAGTTGGGTCAAAAAAATGGAATTGTTCAGTGGGAAGAAAAAACAGAGGATGCCCACCAGAAACATGGGAAAATGTTGTAAAAAGGACAGCATGGAAGGATTGGGAAATGGTGGCGAGGGTGAGAAACAAGTGGAATAATTTGGACGAGGCCTTTTTTCGTGTTCTGATATTGACATGGGCTTAATGTCATCCGGATTATGCAGTACTCAAATAAAGGCTATTTTAATGTGGTTGAGGTAAAAGTGAAGCTACAAATCACTGTAGAACAACTAATTAAACTTTGATTACATAAACCACAATTTACATATCGAAAGCAATCGAGATCCGAGCCCAGGGGCTTAATGAGTTTCCAGTTTAATTTACAGTTATTGTTTTACCCTCGTGACGTAGTTTTCGAGCTTCCATGGCATACCAAATGGAGTTTGTACAAACATTAAACGGCCGGGCAATATAACTTACTAGACTGTTTGATTAATTAGATAACTTTTGACAAACACGTGTCAGCTTCTTTGACCTAAATCGGATTCTAATTTCAAATCAAATTTGCGACGTTCCTTTGTTCTTCTACTATGTACAGAATGTCCGTTAAGGAATCTTTTGAACGAAGAGCCGCGTACGGCCAAAAGATATAATTGAAGTGGTAAAAGCATTTTAAATTAAACAAATTGTTAATCTATAAAACTTAGGAAGCATTTAAAAGAGAATTGGTAGGAGTGTTTTATTAAAGCATAACAAGATCAAATAACCAAAGTTGGTGAAGACAAAGTTTGAGATTATCTTCCTCAAAGAATTAGAAGTTTTAAAGTAGCTAAGTTCCTCAAGTTGGAAAGTTCCCAACTCAACTTACACAAGTAGCCGACTTTAGCTAACTTTCTGTCTAGCGTTCTTCCTCACTCTGATATAATGTGTTTATTTGCAACTCGTTATAAACTTAGTTTAACTATGCACTGGTACGGTGTTTAGTTAATAAATCTTTATGAGTGGTATGTTAATACTCGTGTGTTATTCTTAAATAAATGCGCTTACATTCAATAATATTACAGTCACATGTGTACCTTCTGATAGAAGTTGTAGACTAATCTATAACTATTTAAACATTGTCTCTTAAAAAAGATTGTCAAACTGTTTGGAAGAATTATGAAGTAATCGAATTCTAAGTTGTGAAAGTTTTCCAATTTCACCCCCTGCTGTGGGTTTGAATCGTTTCAGAGCGTGGCTATAGGGTGAGTTCACCTCTCCCTGAATTCGTGAATACCGTTCCCTACATAATTGGTGTCTGGCTTCGAATAAACTTTGTATTACATTACCCGACTTAATTTATGGCATCTTATTCATTGAAGATTTCAAAAGATACTTCTCCTTAATTCAATTAATTTTTTCTGGTTCTTCAAAAGCTTTGGGACATCGTTTGTATCATGAGTTAATTACGTTTCATATTTCATATGAACCTTTTCGAAATATTGCGATATCACACCGATGCTCCAACTAAACGTCAATACAAAAGAAAACCGTAAAAAACTGTTTTGCCGCACCCTTAAACGAGAAATAAACACGTCACTAGCGCGTTTATTATCAAGTATTAATTTTAATCATATCTGTTATTTACAATTCGTATATCAGATAGCGAATAATTAATTAAAAAACAATCCGGACGTGAATTACTTAACCTTGAAACGTATTATTTTCACCTTGACTGAGAACGTCTATAGTAAAATGTTAAATATTAAAGTAAATATTGTGTTTGTCAATTATAACATTATTAACACATTTATTGTAAGTCGTGTCTAATAGTCACGAAACTTAGATCATGATAGTGCAAGATGACTCCGTTATTACAACTATTGTTTGTGGGCAATTGTGTTCGTTTGCAACTGTCAAAAGTTCAAAACTATTGGCTCGCTAATTGACTGCGAGCTTTGTCATTAAAGAGGTTAAGTGGCTCTCGGTGACAGTTGCTTATATCATCTAGTCTAGAAATGTTAACGATATCATTTGGATTATTTATAGAACCTATAAAACTAATTACACATTCCAATTCATCTATAAAACTCTTTATTATTTTGATAAAACATAACGGAAAAAGACATACATCACACATTTACGTGGGCGGCGTATTTATTGGCATTGCGTAATTCTAGCTCATATAAACAAATAATGATATTCGTGATCCGTGTACGAGGGTTATCGGTGTTTGCGGTTTTCAGTTTACTGTTCGACTTACTATGAGCGAAGTAATTTATAATTAAGCGTCTGTTGATAACGATAAACCAACGAGGTCAATTGAGAGCGTGCAAAAAATAGAAACTCTGTTCTACCGAGCGTGACCAAAGAATTGCGATGTTAAGACGCCAATCACTCGTCTCTTTTCCACAATTTAGATTATAATGTTTTGCCTCTCACTCTACTTGGCTTTCCGTTATTTTTATGAGCTCTTTACTAAGGCAATTTCTACATTGAATATTACGTGACTTGTGATCTCGGATAGTTTTATTGTCATTTAAGTAAGATTTGCTAGGATTTGAAACCTCTATTTATGAAAAACATTTTATTTCTAACATGTATAAAATTTGTATACCGAGGAGGTTTAAATGAAAAGAGCTTTGTCTAAAATCTGTCGACATCTGTATGCAAGGTTAAACAAAACTGCCACGAAGCATATCCAAAGAGGGACACGATAAAAACTTCTTGCATAATGTATACGAGAAACTGTTTACGTTGCCTTAAGATCAAGTTACATAACGGCAACTGCCTTTTATGGTGTTAGAATTGGTGTTGAACTCTATTAGCTAAATAATACTAGATATCACCGAATAAAGATTTTAAAATTTGTTTTTCGAGTACCTACAATGGTTTTTCTAAAATAATCTGGCGTGATGAACATCCTTTGTATATTCTTACGAAGACATAGACATAGCATAGGCATAATATCATAATATATAACAAACAAAAACACACACACATAAACACACAAAAAAGCAATAAAACAATTATGTTCCCTTTCCCATTCGGTTCGTTTCAAGTGTGTAATGCGTGTGTGTTGTGGCCCTGGCTCAGCATTATGCTGAAGAGCAGAATGTTCCACAGCGCTGGTCTTTCTACCAGAGACCACATCAGCTAATTTGCGCCTCAGTCGCAAAAAAAGGAAAGAAAAAGAATGAAATAATACTTAGTAGACAATAATAATAATAATATTAGTAAAAGTTAGCAGTGTAAGTAATGAAGTCTAGTGCAATGGTGTGTAGTAAATAAAATACGTATATAACCTATTTAAATGAAGGTATTAATGAGGCTTTCTTTTCTTTGTTTTCACTTGAATTTCTCGAAACAATGTCTGGCCAAGGTCAGGGTTATATGGTGAATTCATTAGCGCTTCCAACTAACGCTCAACTTCTGCTAATGTGTGGTCCGAGACTAAAGTTTAAACAACTTTCATTAAATAGGCTTTCAATCTGTTAAAAGCTTAACGTTATAGCAAAAGTTCTGGGTGATGTTTTTCGCAATGCATTCCAAAACGCTAGACCCGTAGTAGGAAAGGTTATATGAAAACTTAAAAATATTAAATGTAACAAAATTGCAGTCAGATCGTTTGAATGTAATAAAGGAGTATAATACTGAGTCACGCATGGCGTGATGGGTCGTAGAGGAAACGGTTGTCACGAAAAACATTAATATACGAGCGCAAGTCACTATGCGCCCACACGCGACAATCTCATAAGGTTTGTTAGTTTAGGTTACGTTAGACCAGTTAGTCATATTCACTTATCCAGAAAATGTAGAGAATCCAAAACATATTGCGTCGTTTGTGATTCACAGTCTCGTACAATTGTTTGCTAACACGTGTTAAAAATGTGTTCGTAGACATTTACATATTTATCGTTTAATTCCTTTTTGTCGAATGACTCAATAGCTAAGCATTTTCGGTCCTCTCGATATATATATCTCGACATCGATTATATCACTATTTATTGTTAAAATGCTCCCTTGTTGTACACCCTACACAATACTGTTCGGTTGCTTTTAAATATCAATTGCATATCACATTTGCCACTAACAAAGTCGTTTATATTCCTCCAATGTCTGTTTCGCTAAAAGGCCAGTGCTATTGTCTTACAAACCGCAAATCAGTGTCCGCGTACAAGTAGAAGATCGATAACTCGAATGGAGAATGAATCGGCTTATTTTTGCTATGTTTATCTTTAGTAAGGGTGGGCGCCGATCGATAGCATGCGAACGAAAGGAATGTTGCACAAACAAAAAAAGCACGTGGTGCATGAATTGTTCCGCTCCGTTTAGCGGCGCTGTTGCCAAGCGGACGCGCAGACACGTGATGTTTTCCGAACAAACCAATTTCAAGATGGCCGCCATTCGCTTTCCCACGTCGCGCACCACCACTCTGCATGCTTTATTCTTGTTTCTTTTCTATTGTGCATTGCGATTCGTTTTTATGCGCTAACATGGTTCCATCGTTCATTCCGAGTGCGGTTGGGTTATTGTCAAATTTTATTGTTGCATTTTAATAATATTCTTAGACTTAGATTCGAACACACGCGTGGCAGTCGTGTTGGCACCATTAACTAACATGTGTTAACAGTGTAGCCATGAACATGACAGATGTGGGTGACGAGACTTATTCCGTCAATCTACAACACATTGCGGTCTATTAAAACTATAATCTACTTCTATTTAATTCATATTGCTGTTATATATTATTACCTTTTGTATTAAGGATTCATTGTTTAAACAGTCATCAATTATGGAATTTGTATAGCTTAGTTTTATTATAGAATCATTGTTCTCTCACTTAATAACCGAAGTATTGATATAATCGTTCTCGCAGTAATATTTTAATTTACGATTGAATTTTTGAGGATTTACTTTAATTTACGCACGTCAAATATTTGAACAGGTGAATTTCGTAATCTTGCAGCGAACTGTTTAATTATTTCTGGAAATTCGAATTATAAGTATTTATATCTTCTATTTCTGACCTTGAACATTCAAGTTATATGTTGTCGATTCAAACTGTTTCAACTGTAATTATATAGTTTGTTATCAGTCGATACGCAAAGATGTGTGTCACGGCTAAGTGGCGTGCGTGTTTCGAGTTACGCCGTATACATAAGTGTCGGTGTTGGCTCATACATATTCAACTGACGCTGGTCTGCGCTGATAGTCCGCACTCCGCCAACGGCCCGCAAAACTCACTGAATACTAAACGATCTCCTTTGCAAGATCTGCATAGAAATTGTCTTTGAATTTGGTTTCCTGTACCGAATCACAATTTCAACAGGAAACTGATGAGACACTTAAACTAATGTCATTATTTAAACAGTAGGTTTAAACTCATTTATCATCCTTTGTTATCATGTTAATTTGACCCACATAGTCGCGGATAAGTGTTATCAAAGTGCCTAAGTTATAATATCGTTTAACAAAAGAAACTGCAATTACAGCAAGTAAGTCACGTTTAGTTAGACATTCAAGGCTAATTGAGTTAGTTTTATGCTTAACTGATCTAGGTATAACCTTAGTTAGTTTTTGTAGACATGAGATACGTAATCGCTTAAAATTTACCATTTATTCACTCAAATTATTCTAGTTGTCGATTGCGTAATGAACAATTTACATGCAAAACAATTGCTTAATTATTTTAAAATTTCCGGTGTATGTCATTTGAATAATGAATTATACATTTGAATTAATTAAATACACAACTGTCCTTTACTCAAGTATGTTTGATATCAAATCATTATTTCTGATGTAAAGATAAATAAAACGCGCTGTTTGTCAAGGTGACCTTGAATCGCGAGCAGTCACATCGCAACGTAACGGCTCCCTATTGAATGTAAATTTCGCAAGGCCTTGTCCACGACTCGTAACTTATACCTGTCAAATGAAAACGATCTTGACAATAACATTAACGCCTTTATTATATTCTTAAGTAATTAATACTTATGTGGCACCACGTGGTGCCGCCATTTTGGAAAATAAATAGCAAGATGGCGTCGCGAGGCAGGCGAAAGTGCTCGATAATTATTATAAGCGACGGGAAGGCGTGCAAAAACGAAACCCGAGGATCTATGGCCGGGTAATGCACGCAATGCTTAGCTTGATTTATATCGCTCTCTTGTTTCCACCAGCTCAATTGTTCTTAGCTTTTATGTGCACGGAGCGCGCGATTCTGTTATTGTTTCCGACGGCCATGGGAACGCTGCATTTCTGTGACCTCTATACGTTATTGGCTTTTTATGTAAAGGAATTTTATATTAGTTGCATTGTACATTAGCTATTATAAGTGGCGGAGTAGGTATGTTGGTTTGATATATTCATTTATTCTATTAACACCACCTTTGAATTCCCAATACTGAATTGACGCACACATCTTATTATTCAGTCAGGTGATGATATAGTGAATTGATTTCATCCGCCTTGATCTGTTTACATTTTGATGCTTGTGAAAATAGTAGTTATTATATGTAATGTATTACAAAAGAAGCTTCCGTACATTCGTTGGAATGCAGACAAGAATCACGCCCACTCAAATTGCGTGATATTATTGGAATCTAAATACTAAAAATTCGTGAAAACAACATAAAAAACTAGTAAAGGTTAGGGCAACTTATCATTTATTCATGTGGCAAATAGTGTTTTTCTTGTAAATTTATTGGATATCTTTGTTTTTTCTATATACGGAGGTAAAATTTTAGATTTTATAAGAATTTGTTATCGCAACAAGAGTTATTAAAATTATTTGACATTGATATTGACCTACACGTTTACAAAAGGCTTTGAATTTTATAAACTGTTAACTTTAAAGAAAAATTGTATTGTTTTGTTATATCTGCAATATCGTGTAACTTAATTCGGAATTACAATACGGAGGCTCAGTTCTTTTTTATAATGGCAGTCCTGTAAGTAGAATTTACTGTTATACAGATCAAAACCTCATATCCCTACCAAAGACATTTTTAAAGAACATTCTGGTTCAAAAATACGTATTGTATTCAGTTTCGCATAATGTTGTTGAGAATTTCATGACAGTACAACAAATCATCATTATGTTTATTTTATACAGAACATAAGTATAAAATACTAAATAATGTCGACTGGTATTATAAAGTATATTTTGTTTACACGCGAAGTTCGCTTGCCAAAACATTTGACCTCGTTCCCATGAAAGTAAGATCTCCGTAAACTCGTACGATTATTTTTAGACTTGCCAGACCTCCTCTATCTGTTTAATAACAGTGAGTTTTGCCAAGTTGAGGCTTGTTTAATACGTATACATCATCGCTAGTAAAATTTATGATAAACACATTTGGTATAATGCTTTGGTACCATATTTGTGATCTATGAACTAGTATATTGGATAAGGGAGCGTTCAAGTATTACGTCACTCAATATTTGGAGATTATTGGACCCCCCCCCCATGTAACGTGCCGTAACGTTTTTCTGTACCCAAGTATAGTAAAACGTTTCGTGACCACCTAGTGACTCTTTATACCTAAAAATTAACCATTATGTGGTGTAAAGTACTGGAAAGTCGAAAATAATATTAACAATAACGCGTAATTAAATCCACCAAAATTCGTTACGTAATACTTGAACGCTCCCTAAGACACTAAATTTTACAAACATTAAATAAGATCCCTCGGGTCATACATAATCCCATATTTAAACAACTATGACGCCGAAGGACCAAAATTTTCCTTAACTCATCTTCCATATGGCCATTTTATCGTATCTTAAGAGTTATAGGTCCTTTATTGAGGATAAATAAAATAAATTTACTCGTAACAGCATCGTGAGTTAATAAAATGCTTGATCCAGAATCTTAGTCATGATATCAGACAATGTGTGGAGGGTGCTCATTTCTCACGTACGAACCAGTTTGCGGACAGGTTTAGCCGCATACCGATCAAGAAAGGCACTCGCGGTGCCTTAAAGGGGAAAACAACGTGTTTTTTGCTTTGTCAAGTATGTCGACGGCTATTAGTCGGGACGTCGCGACACGTTGAAATAATAGCGGTTACGATAAAGATACTGCTAATTTACGTGAACTCTGATTTGAATTTGTAAGTCGAAACTTCTTTTGCCGGATTGTGGAATGGACAAACATTCGTTTAATTATTAAACTCCTTTTTTTTATTTGGACCACAAAATTAGGACAAACACATGATATAAATTGACATACATACATAAATATCAAAAGCGGTGCCGTCCCTATAACATGTGGACACGACCAGCGAAATCAAGTTGATACAAAAAACAGTGTTAAATACAAACAAGCATAAAAATTAAAGATGCAAACTATAAAAGAATTAAACTATTTGAACCAAGAAAATAAATTATCGGTACTGTGTCCTAATTCTACTCTTAGCTGAGGCCAGAGAACCGTGAAAAATGTCAAAACTCTGTGTAATATCATTATGGTAGCGACATAACCTATTAATTGGTGAGTTTCTACCAACGTTTGTTCGACAATGTGGGATGTGAAAACATCTTCGATTGTACAAACGACTCCCGACCCGAGGAACTTGTATGGATAAACGTTCTAAAATTTCTGGGCAATCCACAATTCCGTTAATTACTTTAAATAGGTATAGCAAGTCGATGTTTGCTCTACGAACACTCTTTAACTCAACAAAATTTAACCTATCCTCATATTTACTCAACATTGCACATTTATTATTTCTAAAGGATAGATGGTATAAAAACTTTCTCTGCACCCTTTCCAGCCTCGCTGAATGGGTTAGATACATCGAAGACCAGACACAACTATTGAACACTTGAATTAACCACAAACATTTTTGTCAAGTTATACGATGTTTCTGACAGCTCAAACGTGTAGAATTTTTAACAATGTATGTTCGAAATGAAATAATGAAATGAAATGAAATGAAATAGTTTATTCTTGCAAGTACTATATAAATCACTTTTACAATGTCATCCTAAACTAGATGAAGTCGACATTTCCTAACTGACTGCCCTGAGAAGAAATGTCGAAACAAACTCGGGGGTCTTAGTCTCTTTTATAGTCCAGATAATACAATAATAAATTAATAAATTGGTGTAAACAAATGCAGAGTATTTACTGGACTGGTCTTTGGAAGAAGAACCAGATCGATCTGAGCAAGCCTGTGCCAGCAGACGGCAAGCATGCCCCGAATAGCTCATGCAGCTCAACCATTTTTGAGGGAGCTGCACAACCCGGTACACAGCAATACCGCCAGTGGCACCATAAAAATATGTGGGGCAACAACTCACTCAGATCGCCAGCCCAAAATAACTATATACTAAAATGTATCAAATTATAAATCAAGCAAAAGAGTTTATGATATACCCGCATAATGTTTACACTTACAATGGATACAAAATGTATTTTTAAGGTGTACCTTA